AATTGTCGTAATTTTGAACAAGTTGGTTTTAACTAATTTAGGATATACATTTTTGTTAGGTTATATCCTATTTACTTTTTAAATAAAAAAATAATAATATTCAATATAAAATTTGTATATTTTACAAATTTTATTTATACAAAATATCAAAATAATAATTTGGTATATATTTTTTTCAAATCAAATATCCCAACATATTTTACAAATTTTATATAAATAATTAAACAAGGAAAAAAGAATATTATTACCTTAAGAATAACAAGTTGAGAAAATTTACATTCATTAAATTTCATACCTTTAAGGAATAAAATAAATAAATAAAAACTTTAATTGATCTCTCCCAAAAATAGCAATTATATGGAGCTAATATTAGAAAATATCATTATTTATAGCTTACTTACCTTTTTTTTATCTCCATTATTCCCTCTGAGCATTAAAATTTAAGTGGTTATGCACTTCTCACAAATCTCACCGCATATTCCACACCAAGAAACTATAAAATAGATACTCTTTTTCAACGTCCAAAAATATTCATTGTCGTCTTCTTCCTCTTCAATGTCACCTTCTTCATCATGGTCTGATCTCCCAATTGACATATTGTTAAGCATTAGAGAAAAGTTGGAGCTTCATCATTACTCTGATCTCATATCGTTTCGCTCGGTCTGCTCCCATTGGCATTCTATAGTTCCGATTCCAGAACATACCCTAAGGTACGAGATAGATCACAATAGAAAGAATAATGTCATCTGCTTCACGAAGGTTAACGACAACATCGATAATGACAATAGCAATATTAGTAATATTCGCTCCATCTCCTTGCCATTTTTCACATCTTCCCACATATATTTTTTTTGTTCATCTAATGGATGGCTAGTTTTCACAACTCACAATAATAAAAATCTTTATCTATTCAACCCCGTTTCAAACCATAAAGTCATATTTCCTCCTCTATCTTGTATCATACTCAAACCAACATTTCGTTGTGTATCACATATATTATTGTTTAAGGTGATTGTTTGTTCGAGCTCAGCTGTTGGCATTGTAGTGACCTGCATTATTGGAATATTTCAACGAGACAAAAATACAATGGAGAAACGGGTTGTGGTTTGCAGGCATGGGGTTGGCCAAAATTGGAGGCTTTTGAAGGAAAACACTGATGACATATTTGATATCACTCTCATCGGCAACGATCACGTTTATATTCTGGACAAGTATTTGAATCTCTACGTGCTTGACGAAAGGTGTTCATCTATGAGATTAGTAAGGTTTAGATTATGGGTTCAGAAACAAATCTTACAAGTTGATGGTGTGAATGATCCAATTGACAAACAATTATCTAGTAATGATTTATACATGAAAACAAGTGGGAAATCAGATCTGAAGATATATGTGTATTGTCGGAGAAACTTTTTTGGACCTCATTGGATATCCTTAAAATTTGATGCGGAAGAACATTGTAGCTACAATGCTGATGTTGATGTTGTTGATGTTGAATGTGAAGCTAAATGGGTCTATTTTTATCCTTTTTCTGATGATCGCACAGAATACTTCACTCCAAAGCTAAGGCCAACTATTACTTAGTATTAAGGAGCAAAACAAAGGATAAATTAAAAAAAACTTTAATTCATCTCTCCCAAAAATAACAATTGTATGGAGCTAATATTAGAAAATATCATTATTTATATTTTAATTATCATTTTTGTCTCCATTAATCTCTCTCAGCATTTAAATTTAAGTGGTTATGCACATCTCACAAATCTCACCGCCTATTTTGCACGTAGAAACAATAAAATAGATACTCTTTTTCAATGTCCAAAATTATTTATCGTCGCTGTCTTCTTCTTCAGTGTCACCTTCTTCATCACTTTCTTCATCATGGTTTGATCTCCCACTTGACATATTGCTAAGCATTAGAGATAAGTTAGAGCTTCATCATTGCTCTGATCTCATATTCTTTCGCTCAGTCTGCTCCCATTAGCATTCTATAGTTTCGATCCCCGAACATCTCTGAAGCTACGAGATAAATCTCAATAGAAAGAATAGTGTAATCTGCTTCACAAAGATTAACGACAACATCGAAAATAACACTGGGGGAATATTCCCCTGTGTTGCCTGTGTTACCGAAAATATTCCTCTATGACGTGATTTCATTGAACTCCGCACGTTACTCTACCTGCGGCAACAGTCAAAAGTCTCATTCTATTATTCGAAAATTTACATGCATACCACTCAATTTTTTAGTATTTACATATCATTAAAATGCATCTCATTTTTTTTGAAATTTCACATAGTGATAATGTTATTATTTTTATTTTTTTTTATATGAAAAGTTTAGGTGTTAGAAATGTAAATACATAAGAATTAGGTGGTATGTATGTAAATTCCTCTTTTATCATTTAAGTATCAAAATTTTGAAAGAGTATATGCCATTAAGTGGGTACTCATATGCTGCCAAATCTAAATATAATATTTAATATTCAACTAATAAACATTATAAAATATAAATGATAAATCTCCCAATTTGATACCAATAATTTATTTATTTGCAGTTCAAATGTTTAAATTTAATCATCCAATAAAATAGAAATAAATAAATAGCTTTTGAATTTGATAGATGTTTCTCATTTGATGGAATGTTAGTTTCAATGGAGCATTAAATGAAGATTGAGATGAGCCAAAAAAATATGCCAAAAACTTTGATTTTTTCTCTTTCTTCAATTTTAAACAACCAAATGGGCCGGGCCCCAATTCAAATGGGTCGGGCCCCAATTCAAATGGGCCGGGCACCATTTGTTAGCGAATTTTGAATTAGATTCATTTGAGCTGACGAGTATGAGTATGATTGTTAACGATTTGATTTCGAGTTCAAATTGGGGTACGCTTGAAATCGACATGAATAGATTTAGTTCGGCTCAAAACTGACTTGCGGCTCGTTATAATTG